TTCCTTCCTTTCTGAACCAGGAATACTCAATGACTTTGGAGATGGTGATTCGACTGGCATGATTGAGGTTGAGGAGCTTGGTGATGAGGCGGTGAGAAAACCAGAACAGCGACCGGCTAACTCTCTGTTCGTCGCCGTCGCCGCCATCACCGCCAAAAAACTCTCTGTCTTCTCTGAATGCCACCACCTAGGGTATCGCCTACTCATTATGATCTGCGTGCGGAAAGGAACCCTAAAATAGCATAAAAATCGATTAACCCTCAGTCGATTTCGGTCTGTCCGCCATTGAAGCTTTCAAAGAAAATAGGTAGGTGAGAAGGGAGAGAGGAGAGAGGCGAGGGAAGGAAGGGACAGAAAGAGAGCGGCAGTGCGTTATTCTGAAATAACGCAATTTCGTGTTATTGTTAAATACCGCGTCCCCAAATAACATATTGAATAAAATGGGTGTTGAACGAGTTATTTGGCTCATTATAATCACCCATCCAAACGGGCTTAGGATAGGGTCAGTAACCAATGGTTACTAATCTATGAGTAACTAAATCTGGACCTTTAGATCTAAGAAGGCCAAGAAAATTCAGATGTAAGGGTTGTCAATTACAGACATTTTATTTTCCCTAGTTTTTATAATCGGCTCTTATCTTCTTCGTTTTAACTCGGATTTCAATTTTTTTGCACACATGGAACGAGTTCGTTGTGCTCTACAAAATGAGATCAATTTTCAATATATTTCGAGAAACTTTTTTTTACCAACTACATACCATATTGTAACTTCTTCGTTTTTAAGTCGTTTTTTGAACACGTTTGCTCAGAAGGAACGAGTTCATCATGATCTATTGGATCTACAAACTTCTGGGTGAAAAAAATACTTGACCAATAAATACCATACTTTACCACTATGGTATGTGGGTGATAACATGTGGTAAACAATGATGAAAGTCGTAAATGACAGTTAGTATACTCCTACTATCATGTATTCAACCTTCTTACCATATTGGTATGTTCATACCATCATGGTACGCTTTCTTACCATATGGTATTAAATACGAGCATACCATATGGTAATGACTAGTAAAAAATTATTCAATTTATTTTGTAATAAAAATATATCAAAGTGGATATCATTTTATAGAGCATATTTAATCTGATTTATCTGGTGCAAAAAAAATTAAATTTTGACTTAAAACGAGAGAGAAATCGTTCGTTAAAGATTAATTGGGAAAAGATAAAAGACTTTCTAGGAGAGAGGAGATGCTGATGTCATGCTGATGTTGACAAGTTACTGATGGTTACTCATCATATGAGTTACTGACTTAATCCGCTCCCATCCAAACGACCCCTATATATATTGATTGTTGCATATTGCAGAATCCTCAACTAAATATATAAAAATGGGTGTCATCTTATAGATTTTAAATCCAAATCAAAGCGAGTTGTTCACCGAAATTACAACAATAGCTAGCTAGCTTCTAGCAACTAGTCAACTGGTGAAGGAGAGGATTGCTTTTCATCGATGTGGGCAGCGCCGTCAGAAGGAAGAAATCGTGGAAAGCACCCCCCCCTCGACCGCCTTCTCTTCTTTCATCCTTTTCCATTTTGTTTTATTTGTTGTAATTTATTAATAGCAAACGGGCAGCTGTACAAAATCGGTCTAACGGTTCAAGCGGCTCGAACGATTAACTGTTCTGGCCGCTTACTAACCGCCCTTTCCAACCATGCGGTCTTAAGAGTATCCAGACCCGGACTAGCGACAGGGTGGTGGTTTTATCTGTTCGACCGAATGGTCCGGGTTAGTCTTGATACCACTGAATTTTTACAATAAATTAAAAATAAAAAATATTGGTAACAACTAATTGAAGTAAGAAATCTCCTCCGCCCTCCTCTCCCCTAGAGATTCATGGGTTCTCCTCCTCCTCCGACACTCTTCTGATCTCCCTCATACAACCCAGACTAATTGGTACAATCATTTTCCAAAGCCTCCAATCTATTTGGAATTTCAGATGGTCCAGCACTCTAATTCGTTTTAACTCGGATTTCAATTTTCTACATATAGAAAAATTAAATTGGTTAAAATCTATAAGATGACACCCATTTTTATATATTTAGGGAGAAACTAAATTTTGTTCAAAGAGAATCGACACAACGGATAATTTATTAATTTATTTTTAATCTAGAAGTTATCCAGTTTTTGTGTTAGCAGCTAAGATTACTTAATTTGTAATTTTTATAGAGTATTTCAATATGAGATAACTAATTAAAAATCTAAAATAAAGTACAAAATATATTGTTAATCTTAATCAAACATGCCAAAATAATAATAACCATCCTCAAAGGTTGAATTTTGAAAAATTTGCAGGTTTATAGATTAATAGATTACTATTTAACCCTTATTTAAATTACAAATTGACTGTAATTGCTGAGGTGTTTCATATTAGATGTAATGTGAATTTATGGTAGACAAATTGTAGACTTAATTATCTAAAAAATAATTTATCTCACCTTTCTTAATGATTGTAGGGGAAATATCTATGCTCGAATTTCTTAAATAAAATATTTTCATAAATATAATAAAGACCGTATGTCCTTCTACTGATATATGAAGTTTCTTTCCTATATTAATACAATACAATGGATCTACATAGTATATGTTGAGAGTATATTATGTGGACAACTTCAAATTTTTGTGTTAAGCATAACCTATGTTTACTCAATTATTACTGATGAGAAGGAAACACAGTAAACAATATGTTTTCAATTCTTACTTTATATTTGGTATATTATATTTTACCAGGGGACACAAAATAATATAATATGATAAAAGAACCTTCACAAAATAAATAATTCAACGCATTAATGATAATTGATAAGTTGGTTGGGTGAATAAGGGTGAGGAGGTTTTTGAATATAATCTACACACTAATATAAGAAGATTCCAGGAAAGGGCGGCTTAGATTATAAATTGGAGGCTTTCCCGCGTTTCAAGGAAGGATACGTTTGTCCTTTTACTTAAGATTAATTGCTTTGCTCGAGAGATAGAAATTAGGTGTATGGTTGGCTTGAGCTTATGTTTTTATTTCGTTTTTCCATTAGGCTTCTATGTTTTGAACTGTGATCATAGTAAGAAGAAGAAAAGCAAAAAGATTGGTTGTGATCATTTGGTTATTTATATTTTGGTGGGATGATCTCTTGGAATAGTTGGATATAGTAATGGCCTCTCGGAAAATACATGGTACATAACAATCAAATAGGCAATGTTTTCATGCCACTATTAATTCTATATTATAACTAACGATAACATCCATGGAATCACAAGTAAGTGCTACGTCAATCTATGCGTAAACTGTAATATGCACAAGTCTCATCAATTAAAACAAATTAATACAATAAACTTTACCTAATCATCATGCATTTTCACTTAAAAACTCATAATGTCCTAAGATAATTACAACAATCATTGGTTGAGTGTTAGATCAAGCATCGAGAATGATTTATTTAAATTGTGTGAGACAATGACTGGAAGTGTTTTGATTCACAACCTTGAAAAAAAAATCCTTCATCAAGACTTTATATATCTCTGTAGAAGACTTGATTTTATATTAACTACGAACTAAATGTTGGAAATTTTAATATAAACATGTGACTAATTTAGTCAAGAACTTAAAATTTATTATTTTTGTTTGGTTGACAAAATAACCTATAACATATCAACATCTCATGATTAAGATTGCACACGATAGTAAAAAAGTATTTTTCAAATAATAAATTGCAACAATATAACACTACCGAGAATGCAAACACTAACTATTATGATAACTTGGTCAATATAAATGATACAAGAAGCGCTTATTCAGCCAACGAGTCGGGTGTAGTTGCTAATACAGAGCCGGGGGGAGGGGGAGGGAACGGAGCTGCCGCTTGCTAACTGAGAGAGACAGAGAGAGAGAGAGAGAGAGAGAGAGAGAGAGAGAGAGAGAGAGAGGGGAGGGGAGGGGAATGGCGCTGCGACTTAGATGGATAGGGTTTGTTTTTAGTTGATATATATAATGTCTAAAATTACTAAGTGGTACCAAAGTAAATAACATTTTAATTATTAAAATTTTAAATTACTACCTTATATGTCTTCTACTTATGATATTATTGTCTTCAATGTACCGATTCTCGAACGCTTTTTTAACGGTTCAATTATGGTTGGACCACTAAAGCTTGCGCCATTTACATTACCAGGTCATGCTCAAGTTCGATTCTGACAACATTGTAAAAATGTGTTAGAAATTGTAAAAGATTAAGTTTATTTTTTTAACTTTCACGTCACTACTTATTTAACGGTCAATTATGAGGATTGACTGTCACATCAGACAAAGTTAATGGAGTTGGACGGAGAGTGACCAAACTTGAACTGTTGAACTAATTTTATTTTAGTGACTACAAATGGAATTAAATATTTCTATTGATCAAATGTAAACATTTTTAATAAATCTAGTATACTAAACTATACAATATGACAAATCTGGCACAAACAATATGCTTTTCGTGACATTTGTGTTCTAAACTATTCCATATTGACAAATATGGCACAAAGCACATAGAAGTTTACTGGATTTTGTGTGAAATGCTAATGGTCAACGCCGGTCAACATTACAAAAAAATACTTCATGCCAGATTTGTCATATTGAATAATTTAGTACAGAAATGACTCTTTTTGAATAGTTTGAACTTTCTATTGGAATTAGCCATTAATTTTTAATACCTTTTTGGTATTTTCGATGAAAGAATACCAAAGTAATTCCGAAAGAAACGGACTTAACCCACACAAATGTAAAAAATAAAATAAACTTCAATTCCCGAATTTCTCTCTACTTCCCATTCTTCTTCTTCCTCAGATCTTCTCTTTCCTCTTTCAAAGCCCTCCAATTCTCCGATTGAACAACTTCGGATCACATCTTTCATCCGAGATTCAGCCTCAACCTTAGACATCGAAGACACCTCCAATAAAGCGTCTGTTAATGTCGAAACCGACAATCGAGAACCCTAAAATAAATGGGCCCAAGTCTGATCCTCTAGACTTAATTGATCAAGCTGCTAATATCCATAACAACACTTCTTTTGATGTGGTTCACAAGGATTTTGGAGCATTTCTTGAAAAATTCGTGGTTTTTCCATGTTCACAACCTCCTCTAAAGCCTCTTTCTGGTCTCACATTTGCTGTCAGTGACTCGTGCGTTTTCTGTTGACTTTCATTTGGGTTGTTTACGTTAACTTCTAGATTGATTGATGCCAACGTCACAACCCTTGAATGTTATAACTATCTTGTAGTTCATCTACGTAATTGGTTTTCTGCTTGCTAGTTGTTGTCATTCTTATGGACATTGTTCTCTGTGGAGGATTGGCAGAATTGATGTGAAAAATCATATCAGTGGCTTTGGGAGTCCAAGTTGGAAAGCAACACACAAGCCAGCGAAGAAGATGGCTGTGATTGTCGCCGATCTTTTGAAAAGAGGGGCTACTTGTGTTGGCAAAACTGTTTCGGGTGAATTGGGATTTGGGTAAAGATCTTCTCTCGGTCACTCCTTTTGGTGACCCATTGTTTGTTGTTAATCAAGCATGCGAAGAATAAAAAAAAACTATTGCTTATTTTTAAAATATACAAAATGTTAAAAATTCAGATCTTTTCTTCTAAAACAGGATAGCTGGTGAGAATGCTTACAATGTAACCCTTGATAACCCTCAATTTCCGGAAATCGTTCATGGAGGTTCCTCAAGTGGTTCATCAGTGGCTGTTGCATCTGGCATTGTAGACTTTGCTCTCGGTAAATAATTTTCCTCTTCTGTTTTGTTGCTTTTCAAGGGTAAATGATTGGTGAATCATTCATCCACCACTTTATTATATAAACTCCATTTACTCTGGTCTCTTATAGCATGCATTCATGTTTTCTCATCCTTAAGGTATTGATACAGTCGGTGATATAAGAATTCCAGCATCATTTTGTGGAGTCATTGGCTTCCGACCATCTCATGGTGCCATTTCAACTATTGGCGTCATTCCCAATTCAGGGAGTTTAGATTGTGTTGGTATGATTTTGAGTGATTGGCGGCTTTTCTCATTCGTACTAGAAGTAAGACTTAATTTTCGTGCTACATTTAACATATAGAGAGTGTTTCAACTCCTTGATAGAGAACATACTAATCATAGATATCTTAATGAATAATTCTACTTATCTAAGGAGAATATTGCATTGATATAAATATTTAAATGATACGTGATATTATAGATTCTACAAATAAGAATGAGCTTAGGTAGATAACTTTCATATTTTTGTCACTTATATATGACCTTATAATCACTTATATTTATTTTTGGTTCATTAGTATAGTATATTTTAATGATTATGATTATATACTAGTAGATAACATTGTCTTCTGGAAATTATATCACTAATTTGATTTTTCTTCCTTTTTTATTTCTTCCCATAACTTGTGACAACCTTGTAGGATTTCTGGCTCGTAATCCTTCAGTGTTGCAGAGGTTAGCACACCCTTTAATGCAGGTCAATCCGGTGGCACCTGAAATTCCAAGGCAACTTATATTTGCCGAAGATCTCTTTGAGCTTTGTGAGGTTACAAAGGACAAGATTAAATCCATTATAGCCAAAGCAATTACAGAGCGATCTGGCTGTAGGTTTTAGCTGTGTAGTAATTATCTAATTATTCTATTTTTTCTAATGGGTTAATTCTTTAACTGATTTTCCATCTATTAAAAGCATTATAACTTGTGTGTGCAGACAAGTCACCAATCTCTGTGAATATTATTCACCATATTGCATCAAATGTGCCCAGTTTGAGAATATTCTATGGAAAAGATGTGAACGTTCAGGATGAAAGGGCTATCTTGGCAACTCTGTCGTTTGTCATGGTTTCACTGCAGAGGTAATGATTGTGTCTCATGGATCTATTGAAACTCGCAATATTTTTAGTTACGATGATTATGCATATGCCTAACGTATTCTAGTAAAATTCTTGTTCTATTCTACGAGTAAGGTAGGAACGCCCTTTATCTTGGTGTTTTAACTTCTTATTTGACACACTAGACTTCATTGAGTATGTTTGTTGTTTGTTACACACCAATGATTCAATTTGCTTCAAATTATATACCTATGATACTGGTTGGTGAACTTTAAGAGTATATTGTAGTCCAAATTATTTGGTCGTACATCATTGTACTTCCATGAATCATAATCTTTAATTAATGTTTTTAATTAAATTGATCGTAGTGTATTAGATTTGAAGAATTAGAATCTGAATTTTAATTTAAACAACATTTCTTACTCATGATATGAAATACCCACAAATTTATCTTAGTAAAATTTATCTTATCATAATCGCCATTGAGAAGGTGATTCATGTGAAAACGATGTCAATCATCACTTGTAGTATGATGAACAAGAAACACAAGAATTTATAAAAAATTATTCAAGATTTACTTTAATTTGAATGATTTAGTGTTTAGAAATTTAGGGTTAGGGTTAGGATTTCAATTTGAGATTTTGGGTTGGAATTCAAAGTTGAAGGTAAGGGGTTATGAAAATGTATTGATTAGTTGTGATTCTATGTTATAACATCATATTATACTAATGCTACCCATTAAAGTTAAAAATTTGATGTATTATAACCACTTTTAGAGTAGGGTGTATTCAAGTGAGTGCACTGAAGTAGCCACATATATATATATATGGTTCAGGCTAGCGTACGCCCGGGCGTACCTTAGTCTACCGTACGCCCGTTGAGTTTTGCTATTTAGACAATGAATTAATCGGAGTTTTTGGCATGATACTATACCCTAACCTCTAATGGATAAACCCCAGTCCCTAATTCACTAATCCAAAGCATAATATTCATTTAATCTTGAAATGAAAATCAACGGTCTTGATTTGTCAAAATTATTGTTGATTTACTTTTTAAGACGGGTGTACTTCTGAATTATACTAGTCTTTACCATTGATAAATATAGTTTTCTCTTTGGTTCACGCACTTCTTTTGGTGCAATCAATGCACTCGCCTCATAATCATTATTTTGAAAAGACGATTCATGTAAAAATGATATCAATTATCACTATTGATACGATGGACAAGAAAACACATGAATTTTCACAAAATCATTCAAGATTTACTTTGATTTAAAGGTTTTATAGTTTAGGAATTTAGGGTCTATAATTTGGGGGTCTCGGCTCCTATTAATAGCTTACCCCTCTGACCCTCTACACGTACCTCGGTTCATTTAGAATAAAACTGGCTAATAACGGAAGTAACAAGCCCCATTCCAATTGATTACATAATTGATAACCTAGAGTCTGAAGCATATTATATTGATCAATGCTCTATTAGATGTGAGAAATAGCCGCCCAAATAGGATAGAGTCATCTCTATATCAATCCATGTCCAGTATTACAAAGTCAAGAGAAAAGGTAAAGTGGTTGTCTCAATTGGGATACCTCTAACCATCCCTATAATGCAACCATTTTTGTTGGCTAGCTAGCTTCATATTGATGGTTGCATCATCTAGGTTATTTAGCGCTAGCAATTATTACACAGAGTATGGTATTGCATTGAAGCTAGCTTCGATGTTAATGAGAACATTAGTGGCATAAGGTTTTTGAGGACACACAAGATGGTAAAGTGCCCACTGTCAGGCAACATTAGTAGTATTATAAGGTAAACATGTGAAGGTATGTTCTTCACTCTCAGCTTTGGATTAGTTGGATAAGGTGGCTCTTCTTTGGTTAGAGTCTCTTTCGTTACTCGCATAGGGTTAGGAATCTCAATGATGGCCTCTAGACTCGGTGCACAGCTTCTTTTCAACCTAGAACATCTAGAAACTCATTTATTACATCTCAAATTTCATAACTAGAGATTCCCTATGAGGTCTAAAAAATGGCCCCCTGGGAACCATTTTTAAGGAATTTTAGTCTATGCGACCACTAGATTCTTGGAAATTTTGGCAACTAGGACTGCCATTTTTCTTTCGATAGGGGGCTGGTATACGTTTTCCATGATGGCTTTGATTTCCTCCTCCTTTAGCATGAATATTTTGGCGATTTCAGCAGCAGGAGGAGGATGACTTTAGAGGGATAGAATCTTTTCCCTTATGGTGTAAGAATTTTTCTCCCTTCTTCCTTTTCTAAAATGAAAAGGTTATTTCTTTGATGAATTTTGAGAGAAAGTACTATATTATATTATTAGGGTGTATGGGCGGACTCCCTAGAGGAGCTAGATTGACCACAGTTCCATTTTCCATGTTTTGAGGTTTTATATGTCTGAACCAAAAATAGGCTTCACTTCACAATTATTATCACTCCTTCTTTACAATAGAGAGTTGATGTTTATAAAAAGTGGAAAATGGTTATGGGCATCAATGAAGCACATGAATCATCCCCTTTTGTAGAATTTTTACGTCCAGATGACGTCAAAGTCTGTTTGCACACTCTAAATAATTCCTCAATCAGCTACGGGTTGCGTTTAGAGTTCCTATTTTTGGTGCCTTTAACGCCATTTTTGAAAATTTTCTTATTATTTGGAAAACTTTTTTTGAAATTGAGGTGCCTCTATCTTTGTAAATGTTTCATAATGTAAAAGATGTAGAAAATGAAATCAGTAAAGGAAAGGAATAATGTAGTGGAATGAGGCGTTGTTAGGTAAAGCTCTCCTAGAGTGTCCTAGGATACGTATTAGAGAGATAGGCTACCTATATATAGATTATTGAGGAAATTCACACAAATTCATCCACTCACTCACTATGCTCCAATATAATGGTGGGTAATGGTATCACTTTTGGAGATGGACTAGGGTGACACGTGTATCGGCTAACCATTTATGCTTATGATGATTACCCTTTCCAGTATATTTTCTACCAAGCTGTGTATTGCTTTTGGTGTGCAATAAATCACATAGTTATCTTTGTTACAATCAATCAACATGAACACATATAAAGATATAAGCGAAAGCAATAAACTATGTTAGGTGAAAACAATCGAGGAATGCACTTGCCTTATCATTAAACGGTATCAACCGTTGCTTATGATATCATGAACAAGAAACACATTATTATTTTTTAAAATCATTCAAGATTTAGGAGTTAGCGATTTAGGGTTAGGGTTTAAGTTTACAATTTGGGGTTTTGGGTTGGGATTCAAAATTGAATGTTAAAGGGTTAGGGTAATGGATTGATGAGTTGTGATTCTATGTTATATCATCATATTAGACTAGTGCTACCCATTAAAGTTCAACATTAGATGTATTATGACCACTTTTAGAGTTGGGTACATTGAATGCACCAAAAAAAAGTGAGTGCACTGAATTAAATCGAATTTGGGGTATGATACTATACCCTAACCTCTAATGGATAAACCTCAGTCACTGATTTTCTAAACCACAACCCGAAGTTTGATTTAACAAAAAACAAAAATTGACCGTTGAGATCGGCCGGAGCTCATCTAAGTACATATAACGGCTAGATTACCTGACGTATAGTATACGTCTGACGTACACCAGTCATTACCATATATATATATATATATAGCTCAGGCTAGCGTACGTCAGTCGTGCATTGTACGCCCGCCGAGTTTTACTATTTAGAACTCGAATTAACCGGAGTTTGGGGCATGATACAATACCCTAACCTCTAATGGGTGAACCCCAGTTCCTAATTCTCTAACCCAAACCGCAAGATTCGTTTAATCTAAAAAAAATAACCAACGATTCTGATTCAGCGAAATATAATAAAGTGCAAAAATCAAGTGTAAACACAACCATACAGCGTACGACTGACGTACGCTAGCCTTTGCCATATATATATATAGAATCAAACAAATATAGTCTTTATAACATCTAGGGTTCACAAACCTTTACAACTCACAAACTAGTCACTCATGGGGATAACAAATATGAACTGCATTAATTTAGAGAAACATATCTTATGTAAATGGCGGTCTAAAGGGGAAAATGTCATCTATGCCGCCATTGTGGACATTTCTTCCCTCAAACTTCTTATTGATTTTTAGATAGGTGACTTCTTCTGGAGGCAGAGTAACCCCTATTTTTTAAGTTATCTTTAAGTAGAGACCTAGGGTGTCTATTTGTAGCCCTGTCCATTAGAATTTTCAAGAGGTTTTCCAATAGAAAATCATATAGTATATCTTTAAGATATCTCTTGCTTGGGGCAAGGGAAGGAATATCCAATAAGTTAGATTAAGAAATCCTTTTTTAGAAAATGGCGACCAAGCCAAAAATTTTGGTCGACACTTCTGAACACCATTTTCTAGCTAGGCTTGGCTTCCAGCCGCTTTCTAACTTCAAGTTCCTAGTTCTTGATATTTCAACTCGTACAAGATGATCCACTATGTTGCTATGGACTGGATATGAACAAAACATTACTACAAGGCATTAAGAGTATAAAACAGACATCTGAGAAAATACCAATCAATTCCAAGTCATAATGGCAAAAGATATGTAAAAATGATGTAAAGAAAACATAAATTGAGGCGATAAAAACATATATATTTTACGTGTTATGAGACGGAACCAAAAACTAGGTTCTTATAAACTCGATGGTTTAAAATATCTATAGTACACTTGACCGATTAATATGTACCTTGATTGAGTGGCGTAGCATATGGTCGACCTTCAAAGCATTAGAACTATTCAACCGATCAATTTAGAATTTTACTTCCAATTGACAAAGAAAACTAAATTGAAAGAATCCCCCGAGCTCTAATACATGATAAATCGAATGGAACATATATGAAACCCTGATATAACCCGAGCCTTAGAATCCCGGACCTGTCGAATCAAAGCACACAAACAAGGAAGCATTGGCAGAACAATAAGCAAAGCAGATAATAATTCGAGAACCTAACCGATGAGGAGCTATGGATCAAA